CGCAGTTTTTTTATCGTATCCATAGCTATAAAGCGCCACATTCGCCACACTTCGGAGGCACGAAAAGTAGTGTTTTTCATACATGAGTTACATAAAATAAAATATGCAATACCGGATAAGCCGACATTTTCCGGATATACGTATATACTGAGAAATTGCTTTCTCCCGTTCACTACATGTTTTCCTATTATATGATTTACCACTGGCCCATCATTTTAATTATATTTTCAATGTTTCCTATAACGTTTTCGCTACTCTTGTATGTTACTGCTGCTTCCCGTATTTAATTATGATTTAATGGTGATTTAATAATTAATAAAACTTTAGGTGATTGTAATGTACGGGAAAGGTCTTAAGAAACCTGCGAACAAATCGGCTCCCTTGACCACAACCAAAAGCATTTATTTCCTCCGATTTTACATTTATTTTACGCTCTTACATTTGTCGTGCCCTCTCGCCGGGCCGTTCCTCACACATACCAGTACACCACAGGCTTTTTGCTTGGCTAATTTATTGAGGCCAAGTACATAAGTCACTACATGTTTTCCTATTATATGATTTACCACTGGCCCATCATTTTAATTATATTTTCAATGTTTCCTATAACGTTTTCGCTACTCTTGTATGTTACTGCTGCTTCCCGTATTTAATTATGATTTAATGGTGATTTAATAATTAATAAAACTTTAGGTGATTGTAATGTACGGGAAAGGTCTTAAGAAACCTGCGAACAAATCGGCTCCCTTGACCACAACCAAAAGCATTTATTTCCTCCGATTTTACATTTATTTTACGCTCTTACATTTGTCGTGCCCTCTCGCCGGGCCGTTCCTCACACATACCAGTACACCACAGGCTTTTTGCTTGGCTAATTTATTGAGGCCAAGTACATAAGTCACTACATGTTTTCCTATTATATGATTTACCACTGGCCCATCATTTTAATTATATTTTCAATGTTTCCTATAACGTTTTCGCTACTCTTGTATGTTACTGCTGCTTCCCGTATTTAATTATGATTTAATGGTGATTTAATAATTAATAAAACTTTAGGTGATTGTAATGTACGGGAAAGGTCTTAAGAAACCTGCGAACAAATCGGCTCCCTTGACCACAACCAAAAGCATTTATTTCCTCCGATTTTACATTTATTTTACGCTCTTACATTTGTCGTGCCCTCTCGCCGGGCCGTTCCTCACACATACCAGTACACCACAGGCTTTTTGCTTGGCTAATTTATTGGATTTGATTTAATATTTTTGCTTGGTATTTTTTTAGCAAGGATTTATTTTTTATGAAATGGCTACACTTTTAATACTTGGCGTAACCGTTTTGTTTTGAAAAAACATTTTTGGTGTTATATTATATTATACTGTACACGACATCTCATACACTCTCACACTTCCAGAAATCACACTAACACTGTGACATTGCAGGTGGATGAGCGGGAAGAAAGAGAGATCGCGGAAAACAAAGAACAAGAACGGCACGTGCAGCAACAGAATACCTAGAAATGAGGTGCCTAAAGAGCATTTTAATTATAGCACCGCGAATACCGCGCACATCAGAACTCCTACCCGTCACCTCCGCACCCTCCTCACCAACAGGATAATTCTGACAATGCAATAATCCAAAGAACAATTCACGATCGAAGGCCTGTAATGAGAATTCGATCGAACGACAGGGTTCGATTGCCCCGATCACGCCGTAACAAGTATCCAAATTCCCCGAAATTTCCTGACATTGCATTCAGTCCCGTCCAAACTGAAAACCTTCCTTACGAACTGCAATACCGATCATCCTCAGTTACTAATCAATCCTCTGGTAGAGCAGTATCCCTTTTGGAGTCTTGAGCCGATTGTCCGCGTCAGTGAAGTGTTGTGCCGATCAAATACCTTAGGGCCTATTTTGATCTAGCTTGCCTTAGGACCCAAGCGAAAACTGTATCACTTCAGTGCCGGGCGCCCACGCGAAAAGAACTCATTTCTTGGCATTTCAATAAGCATTCGTCTAGGCGAGTGTCCACCTTAGGGCTGGACCAAGAATTTCCCGTTCAACCAAATCTATTTCACTATCGTCGAGAACCGAGCGCCGTCTCTCACTCTTCCTCTGCTCATCCACCGGTAAGTAACTCACATTCCTACATCTTTATATATATATCTTTGTAACTCACACTACAGAAGTTGATGATCACACATACAGTGTTATTCTGATTTCATTTAGTTAGTAGATTAATGTACACTCACTACTGCATATAACTGTGACAGTTACTTGTACTTCTGCTTATCATTTCATTATATTGAGTTGAACTATATTTTCTTCTCTTGATTTCGAAACCTGAACCTATCAGCTCCTAAACCCAGATAAACCCCTTACCCAGTAGCTTCAACCAAACTCCCGTAGAAGGAGTGAGTTTTCCAAATCAATATATTTAGTATCTGGTTGTGATCCTCATCTTAACTATCGACCAAGGGACATAAACGCAAATAGGCGTGCTTTAGCACCTTAAAGTGGCAAGAACCCAATACCTTTTACGTGATCTTTGATCTCAACACCTATGCTAACTCCCTGATGCTCCCGCAAACGGTCGCTCAAAAATTGGACGTAACAGGGACACCATTTTTTTTCCATTCAATTCTCCACAAATAAAAACAACGTTGAACAATACATAAAAAAATTTTTTAAAAATCATTTTGTATACTTCATAGATGCTTCAATTTGTAAAAAAAAATTAGACCGATTACCTTATTCCATCCACCTAAAAAAAATCGCGAAAATCGGCTATTTTTCGGGCGGTTACACTGTAATGATCCCTTAAGGTTCCGTTTAAAATGGAAAAGTGGCGCAGCTACGTTTCGTTTGGTTGTTGTTATATTTCACGACGGTAAAGAAATTTGTGCATATACTAGAAGGTAAAATATAAAGAAAGAAAATCAATGGACATTCACTTTCATTATACGTATGTAATATACAGGGTGTCCCATTTGATACAGGACGGTTGAATATCTGTTTAAGGAAGAGCGAGACAGCAAAATGTGTCAGACGAAAGTTGTACGGTACAAAGGGGAAAAGTCAGTGGAAACAGAATTTATGCTCCTACTATTTATGCTTTTATGTTTCAAGCATAAAGCCAATTTTGTTAAATGGCAACAACATTTTTGAACCCCTAAGTAGTTATAAGCCACTTCTGGCCGTCACAACAAACCCCCACCACTGTCCCCTGTGAGTCATGGAGCGCGCAGCGCTCTGACCCCCCCGTACCGCACTATGGCGTCACCCCCTCGCCTATGTGGTCGGCTCTCCCCACCGCCAACCTATGTTGTTGCTCCCCCACCATGCGGACCTGGTCCTAAGACCCGAAACTCAGTAGCAGCGGCGTTGCATGCCCCCAGGGGCCTATCACGGTCGGTAATTATGCCTTGACCGCCGGCCGGTAACTTTTTAATTATCCTAAGGAGATAAGTGTACCCGTGGTAAAATAGAGCACCGTATTTTGCAAGACACATTATGTATATTATAAAGCTGTAGCGCATGATACATTTTCGACTATTACCGTATTGTTGACGCGAATCTACTTTAAGTCGTAAAAACGTATCCTGATTAATTGGTAAGGTCTGGTCCCCGATTCTGCCCGTTTCCCAAGCCGCGTGACATTCTCCGAACAATGATGTAATCAGGGTTCAGATCGTCTCTGAAGAATGTCTTTATCTCGGTGAAGTGAAAATCCCTGCAGGTGTACGGCGGCGTCGAATAACAACGTACAGCGGAATACGCTTAATGCTTTATAAATTATTGAGAAGATATGGGGTGATGGAGGTGTAGGAAACAAAAAAAAAACAGTTTTTTTTTAAAATAAAAATATATCATACACATTTTGCAAGAAACATCAAGTGTACAGTTTTTATTACGGAAAAAGGCCCTATGCATGGCTGTTATGGTCCTCCATGGTGCTCCGCACGAAGGAAAGGTACTCGTGATTATACAGGGACAGCAGCTCCAACAATAATTGATTAAGCGCCGGTGACCACAGGCCTTTCATCTCCAGAACCAACCGAAGATCGCCCAATATGTTGTCCCTGGAGGATGTGTCATCTCCGCAACGGTCGAGTTCCGCAATCAGCGTGTCTTTACAGTTGTTAGCACTGTCGGTAATCTCGCGTAGCCTGGTTATTTGAAAGGTTACGCAGCGCAGGACCCTCTGGAGATTGAGATATGACACCCTCTTCATCGCAACCGTAGGTGTGTATGCCCTAGCTCTTTTAATACATCGTTGTCCGTAGACACCGGCATTGCCGGTTTGATAATAATTGCCCGCTCACCGTATGAGTACGTGAAGGCTAGCTCATGAGTGGCCATGAGAATAGGAGTGTTAAAAGCCTCGGGTACCTCCTTGATGTTATCCTCGGCGGTAAAGAATTTGTCGATGACGGGGAAGTGGTCGGTGATGATGGCCCATTCAGTAGGTTCAAACTCCACGCCGGAATAATCTTGATTAACGATGCGTATCACAGGTGATAAGCTTCCCGAACGATTTAAAGAGAAGCCGGTGATCACTTGTTTCGAAAACGATCGGTTTAGACCGTACACAGCGGACAGCAGTACTTGCTTCTTGTACATGATTATAGTAACTGCTATTATACGATCGGTGCGATGGTCTAAGCAGTACTGTCTAAGGCGACATCTAAAAAATAGGTCATCGAAATATCGTCGAACATGTCCCCCCCACCACCACCATAGCCACACCCCGTTGCTGATGCAACCTCGAACGTTGTACGTCAGCAGATCGTTGCAGCTCCCAACGCAACACCTCTATACCGTTTTTTCCGTATTATGGATACGCCGTATTTCGTGATCGGCGAACGAGCGACCAATAATACATAATTTGTTTTACGATTAAAACTTTTCTATCCGATTTTCCACGAATAACGATCCTATAAGAAAATCGTGACATTTTTTGCTGATTCAGCTGTACCGTATAGTAGTGTTTTGAAATTAATATCGCCGCGGCTGTAAGATGTCCGTGGACCAGCCGTAGTCTGTTTTAGCTCGTATCACAACGTCTCGGCAGTTAGTCTGATCACTTACAGTAATCACCAGCTCTAAGCAAAGAAAAAAAAATGTCATCCTTGGGAAATATTCGCGATTGTATCCTCGATTTCGTCTAGACACGTCGCTTGAATACACCTAGAAACCCGAGATTATTTTCACCGGCGTGGTGTCGCGAGTTAAGATATGTCGGTTTTCGCACGCTAACGCGTAAATTAAAAAGTGTCTTTACCCATTGTACTCTGCGTGTGCTAGCCAGGGGTCATGAAAGAGGATATTTCAAAAACGATCCGTACATACTTTCGTTAGCCGTAGCATGTATCAGTAAACGCGGAGTGCGCGATAGCCACATCACCAGAGCTATTATAACCGATCATCGATTCCACGAAGGTATGTATCTGCCACCTACCAGTAATAGCTCCTACATAATTTGCTTTTTTTTTAAAAAAAATAAATCAAGAATTGACGCGCTTTCACCACGAAGTCGCCCCCGAGGAGGAGGAGCAGTTGCTCTTAGGGTGCCTCGATCATATAGAGGAGGTTTACCCGGAGCCCAGCACCAGCACGGCGACGGTGATGCAAAGTGCTAATGGTAAAACATACCTTTTTAAAAAAAGATTACGTCTAATTTACGTTTTATTAAAAAAAAGTAGCAGGTCCATCGACAGCGCTGGACGTGCAGGTGATGGAGGAGGAGGAGGAAGAAGAAGAAGAAGAAGGTGAAGAAGTGCTTCACAATACGTGGGGTATGCGTTAAATGGTATCGGAAGCAAAAAGAGAAAAAAACAATGCGATATTCTTCATCATTTTTTTTACAGATGAAATCATGTCGATATCATCGGCCGGTAGTGATCGCAGTGTCTACGGCAATGGTAATGATGATGATGACCGCTCCACCATGTGCAGCACTTCTAACGAGCGCTATCAATGTAATAATTATAAATTAACAGACACCGTTGAAAACTCATCTGTGTGAAAATAAAAAGTAAAAAAAAGTTGTAGATCTGTTGGAGGCTGCTGGCTACGATAACGACATTGCAACGGACAACGCACGGCCTCCGCAGGAGCACGACGACGCTGAAGAACCGGTGATATGGGTTCTTAGGAACGGTGTGTACGAGGTAGCGGATGCCGACGAAGCGGCCGATGCATTGGCGGGGCGCGATGGGGCCCCGAGCGCAGCGGTTACCCTCGAGGAAGGTAACGTAGAAAGAGATATTCTTTAACATTTAAAGGCCTCTTTGTCGAAATTGCTAACTTTAAAAATGTAGGGGATGATGATGATGAAAACCTGTTAGACGCTGTACTCTCATACATCAGGTCGATGTTTAATCTTTGAGAGGAATGAGAAGTCAGTATGAGCCGAATACTCTTTCTTTTCTTGTTTAATAACAAAAACAATAATAAAAAACTCTTTTTCCAAACGCTAGAGCGTAAGGCCATCTTATGGCTTCTCTCGCTAGAGCATTGTTTGGGTTGCTCCATAGTTCATGCGGGGCGCACTCGGGAGTATCGTCTGCCGGAGGTTACACCCATCGATGGTTACTACCTGGACACCGACTCAGGTTTGCGACACGAATTCCAGTTTCAGGGTTGTTTCTGACACGGTTGCCCATAATGCTATCGTATAAACAGAGATAGTCGTCTACAAATGGGTGGATCCATGGACGCGGGCTACGAGAGAACGCAGGCTACGAACGATAAGATTCGGTATTTAGGTTACGAGCTGACGGAAATTTTGGAGTGTGAATTCGACCGCTGGATAAACGATCCTGGACAGACAGCTTTATACACATCACTGAATGAGAACCTGCTGGTATCCCAGGCACCGCTCGAACCCCGCGATGCTTTCTTCGGTGGCCGTACAGGTAATACTGTCAGTTTTTATGAAGTCGAGGGGTCTGAGAGGATACACTACGTAGATGTGTGTTCGCTCTACCCCTTCATTTCGAAAACGGGGAAATTCCCTGTAGGGCACCCTACGGTGTACGTGGGCGATGACTGTCGCGAATTAACGGGTGATCGCCACAACATCGATAACGTGGAGGGCTTGATTAAGTGTGTGCTGTTACCACCGCGAGATCTGTATCATCCCGTGTTACCGGTGCGTATGCACGGTAAACTGCTCTTTGCATTGTGTCGTTCCTGTGCAGAGGCCACGCTACAGGGGTCGTGTCCTCACGAGAATCCCGCGGACAGGGTATTCGAAGGGACCTGCATCGTGGACGAGGTCAAGCGCGCTGTACGTAAGGGGTATGAAATAACGTTGATACACGAAATATGGCAGTATAAGATTACCAGTACGACCCAACGACACGAACGGGTGGTCACTTTGCCAATTACATAAACACGTTCCTAAAGATTAAACAGGAAGCTAGCGCCTGGCCGCGCGAGTGTGGCGACGACGACGAGGCCAAGAAGTTGTATATAGAGGAGTACGATCGGGTCGAGGGTATTCGTCTGGACCCTGGTAATGTAAAATCAAATCCCGGTCTGCGGTCAGTCGCAAAGTTATGTTTGAATTCCTTTTGGGGCAAGTTTGGGCAACGCGAAAATCTGCCAAAGACGGAAATTGTAACGACTCGTCAAAAGCTCGTGAGTTTGCTTACGTGTCCGGAGGTTGAGATTACTGGTATTCTGCCCGTAGATGACGAGATGCTCTATGTCAGTACGCGTAATACGAACGACTCGTTGATACCCATAGCATACACAAACATTGTTATACCATAGCTGCGTATACCATGGCTCAGGCGCGTCTGAAATTGTACAACTACCTTGAGGCATTAGATAGACGCGTTCTATATTACGACACCGACTCGTGTATATACGTATCGGGTGGCCGTCACGCCGATAACACCTACGAGCCGCCGCTCGGTAGTCTTTTGGGCGATTTAACGGACGAGCTGGAGTCGTACGGCGCTGGTAGCTATATCGCGTCTTTTGTTTCGGGAGGTCCGAAATTTTACGCGTACCGTGTGCGCAAGCCAGACGGTTCTTACGCTGAGGTCTGTAAGGTCAAAGGTATCACGATCAACCACGCGACGAGTCTGGTCATTAACTACAACTGGATACGGTCTTATGTAACGGGAGAGACCGACGAGCCTGTCACTTTACGCTATGACGCGATACGGCGTACTCCGTTTCACGACATAGTGATACGTGTAGAAGCAAAAACGTGTAAACCGACAGAGCTTCAAAAACGGCGACTCGACGGTCGTTTCGGCTCTTTGCCATACGGTCTTATGTAATTAATAGTACAAACAGAACTTGTATAAGTGTATATATGACCCCCTGTACAATAATAATAATAATAAAACATATTTATTTGAAAAAAATCTCTTTATTGATCTGTTCCCTAAGTGTCCACCAGCCCGGCCATGTTATTTAGTTTTTTCAGCGACGCTTCGGATATGCTAGCCGTGCACTATGCCTAGCTATGCGGCGGACACACATACATGCCGACTATTAGCTCACAGGTGCACGATGAGCTCACCCGCACCAGGGGCTAGCAACATCACCGATAAGAGCTAGCAAGCGCGCGCGACGTTACGAGCCTCACGCGTGTCACGCGCCCGCCGCGGCCAGGCCCCGCGATGGAAGGGGGAGTGTGTAAAATTCAGCAGACTCTTTAACAGTATATTCGTAAAGACCACCGCCAAATAACGTCATTTGGCATAATGGACTCGCGGTGGAAGCATCCGTGGACATCGATGGTCTGTGGGCCAACGGGATGCGGGAAGACGTTTTGCGTAAAGAAATTCCTACGCTTCATCGAGGATATGACTGACGTGCGCTTCGCCTGCGTTCTCTTTTACTATGCAGAGTGGCAGGAGGGGTACAGGGAGTACGGGAGCGCTATAGAGTTTCACGAGGGACTGCCGCAAAACACCGATTACGGCAACGATCCACGCCCGAAACTCGTCATCATCGACGATCTCATGAGGGAATCGTCCAATAACACGGTGGTCGACCTTTTTACCAAAGGCAGCCATCATAAGAACATCAGCGTTATCTTCATTACGCAGAATCTCTTTCATCAGGGGCCCGGGCAGCGTGATATCTCGTTGAACGCCAACTACATCGTTGTATTTAAAAATCCGCGCGACAGAGCGTAGATACAGCATCTAGCGAGACAGGTGTTTCCTGAAAACCCGCGCTTCGTACAGGAAGTCTCACGCAGAGAAAGAAAGAGAGAGAGAGCGAGGTGGAGCACGCGAAAAAGATGGTTCTCATCCCTCATGAGAGTGTGAATACCGTGCACCAACAGTACCGCCGTGCAGCGCCTCATGCGCACCATCACAGTCAGGAGGGCATTGACACCGTTAACACCGTGCAAACCCCTGGGGCCCCCTTAAGCAGATTAGACGCATCGATGAAGGAGATCCTACACTCGCCGAATTTCATTGACGAGCGCGAAAAGTGGAAGATGTACAATCAGGTGCTGCAGCGTTATCTACACTCTATCGAGGATCTGCGAAATAACGTCGACGAGGATAGGCGCGCCGATAGCGATAATAAGAAAAAAAATAACAATTCTGCGGAGGATAACGCCAGGAGCCCGACCGACGATGGCGACGACGACATCATTGCTAGCGTACCCCAAAAGTACAGAGCTAAGGCTAAGCTCTTACTAGGAAGGCTACGCTGGTTCGCCACGCATTTCGTGGAGTAAACAAGGCGTTACGCGTATCGGTGGAGCCGTCGTGCAGGACGCCAACATCGTGGATTTAATCAACGACGCTATGCGCGAGAGAAAAACAGCGAGACCGGCGGGAAGTCGGCAGGTTGCGCCGTTCCTCCGTACTGCTGGTATACCGCGCGAATTTATTGGTAATCAGCGTCTATGGCTGGAGGGGAGCAACACGGGGTCTCCCGGTAATCAGGACGCTATGTGCGAGAGAAAAACAGCGAGACCGGCGGGAAGTCGGCAGGTTGCGCCGTTCCTCCGTACTGCTGGTATACCGCGCGAATTTATTGGTAATCAGCGTCTATGGCTGGAGGGGAGCAACACGGGGTCTCCCGGTAGTAGTAATAGATCCGTTATAGCGAGACCTGGGGGCGTGGTTAAGTGGGGGTGGGGGTGAGTCCCAAAAGTATTACGGTTAAAATTTTTCGTTTCAAACTCGACGCCCCAAAAGTTTAGCGAATGAAATTTTTTCATTTTAAACTCGACGCCCCCAAAAATTCAGCGAATGACATTTTTCGTTTCAAACTCGACGCCTTCAAAAATTTAGCGAATGAAATTTTTTCATTTTAAACTCGACGCCCCAAAAATTTAGCGAATGAAATTTTTTCGTTTTAAACTCGACGCCCTAAAAATTTAGCGAATGAAATTTTTTCGTTTCACACTCGACGCCCCAAAAGTTTTACGACTGAAATTTTTCAAAAATGGGAAGTGGTAATTTTTCTGTATGAAAACTAAGCGGCAAAAGTAAAACTCAGACAAAACGA